GCTAGAAGTAGCATAATAAAGTAAAGGCAAGCTAGCAAAGCCAGCATAAGCCGTCGTACTCTCACAGTTGTTGTCATCCATCGGAACAGGTACCGAGCAGTAGGGCAGATGTCCGGCTTCCTCCGATGCTCCATCCACGTTCTGCTAGTCCCAGTCAGCTTCGTCTGCTGATGAGGCGAAGGCTTGGTTGCCATGGAAACCGCACGTGGGGTCTCTTTCTGCTGCGAGGTTGTCCAGGTACGTTTGAAGGGTGAGTCGCTCGTAGAAGAGGGCGTCACGTGCTGGTACTGTTTCTTTTGAGTGGACGTCGAAAATTTTCCACGAGTTGTAATGTTTTTCGATGCACAAGTGTAGTCCCCACTGTGCTCGTTGTGAAAATCGGCTAGCTCGTACAGTGTGCGGTCGGTACTGTAACATTTTTGTGTTGCCCAGCATAGCTGTCCATAGCTGATACGGTGATGCGCTGTTCGGGAGTGAGGACGACGAGAGCAAGTTGTGCAGCATTACAGCGTGGTCCATTGCTGCACGCCACTTGCTCTCGGACAGTCGCATGCCACGTAGCAGCTTGCGCATGGTGTTCTGGAGGGTCCTGTTCATCCCTTCTGCCACACCTTGTTGTTGATGAGCGTAGGGGAGGGAGATGAGTCGCTTGATGCCTCTCTCCGCCAGGTATTGCTTGAAACTTTGTGACTGATATTCTCCTCTCCTGTCTGACTGGAAGCTTTTGAGTTTTTCTCCAGACTCCCTTTCTGCTACTGGGAGCCATGCGACAAAAGCTTCGAAGGCCATGTCGCAGCTTGGCAGGTTGAGATGCCAGACGTATCTGGTGGCAGCGCCGATGAAGGTTATCACGTAGTTGTAGTCTCCTTGTCCACTTTTGCGGGCGTACAGTATGTCGCTGTATATCTTCTCCAGTGGTGCGTATGCTGGTGCGCTCGGGTTGTGGTGAGAGACGAACGGTTGATGAGGTAAGTCGGCTTCGGGGCAGGTAAAGCAGGTTCCACGGACTCATTGTAGTTCTCTCCCGTCTTGTAAAAGTAGTGAGTCCTTGTCGAGAACTCCTGCTCTTATCGTGTTGTTCAGTGTCGTGTTGCTGAGATGTCCTAACCTTTCATGCCATAGTGATTTGTTAGCGCGATGTCTAGGTGATCTCCGGTACAGGTCGGAGTTGGAGTAGAAGCCGGCGGTGAAGTTGGCGCTTCGGTGAACGGCGCGTGGAGCGGGAGTCAGCTGTCGGGCGGGGGTCGGTGTGGGTTCGTCCAAGGGAGGTGGTGCTGTTGATGGACCAGCGACAGGGAAGTTTGTTGTTGTTGATGCTGGTGCTGTTGTTGCTTCTGCTTCTGCTGGTGTTGTTCCTGCTGCTATTGTTGCTTGTTGCATCACGACTAACGCCCTTGTTTGCTCTGCTTCAGGTATGGTGTGCGAGTACCAGAAGCCTCCGGGACTGAAGTCGGGATCGAGATCCGAAGGGTGCGTCCAAGTTGTGAAGTTGACGATGCCGTCGCTGTCGGTAGTGCCTCAATCTGGGACGAATTCGAGGACGAAGACGTTGTTCTTTAGGACTGCCTTCCTGATGTAGAGTCCGCCCTTCCTGTGGTACAGCCTGAACTCTTAGGTGGTGCTGTTCGCTTCGAGGTGGATTCCTTTCCCCAAAAGCTGGCTTACGCTGAGTAAGTTGTAGCTGAGTCCTTGTACAATCAAAACTTTTGACATCTGTAAAACGACGTTAGACTTGAGTGACTGTAATTGAACTACGCCTTGTCGTCGTGTGCGCAGGTTTTGATTGTTGGCGACGGTTATCACAACTTCCCGGTTGAGGCGTTGTTCCCGTTGAACAAAACGATATGAAGAGCACATGTGTTGTTCGCAGCAGCTATCCAAGAACCACGTGTCTTTGCCGGACGGTTCGTTCTGAGCGATGGCGGCGTACGTCCGATTTGGTTCCAGCGACTCACGGCGAGGTGTGCGTTCGTCAAGCATTTCTTCTGGTGAGTAAGTCGGTGGTGATTCAGTGATGCAGGAGTCCGTTCTTGTCATGCAGCTGACGATGTTTCTTGTTCCTTGTGCAGGTCGTGGTGTTGACCTTAAAGGCTACGCCTGGTTGGAAGGTTGTGGCTGCGTGGTGGCTACTTGGCTGCTTGAGGGTCGGAGCTGACGCGGCGGTGTTGATTGCTGATTATTCGGGCAGTTGATGCGCGAGTTTCCGGATGTTCGACAGAGATGGCAGAACGGCGGTACATTTTTTCGTGCTTGATGTTCGTGTTGTCGGTAGTTGTTGTTGTTGTGGCGCCTCTGAGTGTAAAAAGCGAACTCTGGTGCTGATGCCCTTTTCTTGTTGCTCGGCATGAAGTTTTGCGGAGAGGATTGCTTCAGAGATTCTCCTGTGGCGACGAAGAATGGCCCGGGTGGAGCGCCATTGGGGTCCGAGGCCTGCAAGGACAACGGTGACGAAGGCATTTTTGGATAGTGCTCTGCCGCACCGAAGGAGTCTGTCGCGTAGACCACGACAGCGACTAATATATGCCATTGCCTTTTCGCCGGGTTGCATTTGGACTGTTGTCAATTGCGCCATGAGACGACTCTGATTTACGCTGTCTTTTGCTTGATACAGGTTCTTCAGATGGTTGTAGGCGAGCTCAGCGGAGTTGCCATATATGCGATAAGATCGAACGTTCTGTTGCTCGTTTGCCGTGATGTTTTGCAGAAGGATGGTGTATGCCATCAGTGACTGATACGTGTACTGCTGCTTGTTGTACTGTGTCCCGTGCGTTGGATATGGCAGGGAACCGTCGAAGAAGCTGAGGATTTGAGCTCCTGCCATCATCAGCTCGAATTCGAAGGACCAGGAATAGAAATCCTTCCTGTCGAATGGTGTTGTTGTTTGCAGTTTCAGTACGTGTGCGAATTGTGACTGCAGCTGAAGCGCGTCCATTGGCTTTGTCTCTTGTCAAGGTTGAAGGTGATTCGGCATAAAGCTAATAGAGCCACGTTGGGGCTCATACGGCGCGAAGGTGGGTTGCTGATATCCGTGCGCAAAGGAAGAGCCATCAAAACTCATGGGAGTAACGCCGTCGTTGTTGTCGCAGTTGTTTGAATGCGCAGGTGCTGCTTGTTGTTGCTCGTAGAACGACATGAAGGAGAAGAATTTCTCCATCATACTTGGGTCGAAGCCAGTTCCTAGGTTCGCGGGTGCTTCAGAGGATTATGCAGCTGGTCCTTGGGCAGTGCCTCCCTCTGTCTGTAGTTCAGAGACCGGAGGTGTAGTAGTGCCGGGAGATCCAGTAGATGATCACCTTTCATTTTGTGTTGACATGTCTTCTGTTATTTGAGTTATAGAAAGTGAAAGAAAAAATGGTTGAGCCTTGTATTGCTAGCTCTCATACCATGTTGGGCTGAGAAAAGCCCTTAGGATCTTTTTCAATGACTAAGGCTCTGGATGATGTATTAGCGGAAGCGTTCTAATGAGATTGGTTGAACCACCTTGCACTAGTATATGAGAACAAGATGAGTTGATTATAATGCAGGGGTACAAGGTTTATATATGATTACAAAAATATCAGAGATTATACCGCTTTGTGTTTAACTGTAATTGCAAATGCTAGTGCGGTTCGATACAGCGACGACTCGGGTAACTGCTCAATAGCGAGTCAGTTATTTGTCCTTGCCGTCGAGCTGTTTCGTCAAGTCAAAGGTCGCTGACCTTTGACCTTCCTTCAACTGCTTACTGTTGTCCCTTTGTCAACCGCCTTGCTGTAGTTCGGTTGACTCGGTCTTGCTTCGCTGTAGATCTACTTCGTTCTTGTTATAGTGCCCGATATACCAGAAGCGCAAACTACATGTTTCCAACAAAAAAACAAAGTTGTTACTACAAAAGCTGCGAGCTAAAGACTAATATCTTAGAATCTAGGCACCAATGAGTTGACTATCGAGAGAATGGTACAAGGAGAAAACCCTAAGGGGTTATACTCCACAGTATCTACCCCACTACAACCCTCCCACAAATGTAACATATGCATATCTTTGACACACCCCCATAGGCAAAGTGGGGGAGAGCAAGAGGTCACAAGACCAGTCAAGAAAAGCAAAGCAAGCTCAGGGTGGATCACAACGTCACCACACACACTGAGCACAAGCAAAAGGCCACAAGGCCAGTTCACATGCAGAGGTATATATGCAACAAGAACAGTACAGTGATCTCTACCTAGCAAGAGCAAGCATGCAGATATATATATATTTATATATATATATATAGAGAGAGAGAGAGATAGAGAGAGAGAGAGAGAGAGAGAGAGATAGAGAGAGAGAGAGAGAGAGAGAGAGAGAGAGAGAGAGAGAGAGAGAGAGATAGAGATCACAGTACAAGCAGAGTCTACAGCAAGTGTGGAAACGTAGGCACAAGGCCCAACAAAGTACAAAAGCGCTGATGATCACCAGACGGAAGTGCCTTGGTGAATATATCAGCAGTGTTGGCCCGAGTGGCCACGTGAGCAAGGCGAAGCTGACCACGCTGCTGCAACTCTCGAGCGAGGAAGTAACGCAGAGCGATGTGCTTCGTTCTGTGCTCCAGTCTGTGCTCCTCACACAAGGCAATGGCTGCCTTGTTGTCGACGTACAAAACTGGAGGAGAACGAGGCCTCTCTCCCAAGTTAGTCAGCAGGTAGGTGAGCCAGCGTAACTCCTGTGCAGCCATGGCTGTGGCGTAGATCTCAGCCTCACAACTGGAGCCGAGAACAGAAGACGAGCGAGTAGACCGCCAAGAAATAGAGCCAGAGCCAAGGCCGAAGGTGTAACCCTGTGACGACCGCTGCGTAGCCTGGTCGTCAGCCCAAGAAGCGTCCGAGTGACCAGTGAGGACAACGTCGCCCCGTCCTCCAAGCACGAGCCCCATGCCCGACGTACTGCACAAGTAGCGCAGTACCCTCTTAGCAGCATCCATGTGCACCTTTCGATGCCGACCAGGAGCCACGTAGCGAGCGAGAAGGCCAAGAGGGTACGCAAGGTCAGGACGAGTGCAGCTCTGGGTAAGGACCACTCGGCTCTACGGACTCGTCCGAAGGTGGAGCTGAGAGCGAGTGACCTGTAGCCAGAGGAGTGGACTGTGGTGAGGACCAGGTGAAGCCGAAGCGCTGAAGGACCTGCTGCACCATGTGTGACTGAGTCAATGTGATGGTGCGGCGTGCTCTGTCCCGGGTGATCTGCAAGCCAAGGTAGCTGCGCAGCTCACCCAGGTCTGTGCACGTGTGTCTCTTCTGCAGCTCCGACTTCACCAGAGCGAGAGCCTCAGTGTCAGCAGTGGCAAAGACCAAGTCGTCGACGTACACGAGGATGTAGAACAGCGGCAGCGAAGTGTCGGTGCGCAGAAACAGTGACGGGTCAGCAGTCGAAGGAGCAAACCCAAGAGCCGCAAGTGTCGTCCTCAGTGTGTCGTGCCACTCACGTGGCGCCTGGCGGAGACCGTAGACCGGCCGGCGGAGGCTCCACTGGGTAGCAGGAGGGAACGACCCAGAAAAGCCAGGCGGGCGGCGCAGCCAGATCTCCTCGTGCAGGCTGCCCTGTAAGAAAGCTGTGCTGAAGTCAAGAGAGTGAAGCTCGTAGTCTCGCTGAGCGGCTATGTGCAGCAGCACCCGAAGAGTGGTCATCTTCGGGGTGGGGGAGAAGGTCTGGAAGAAGTCAACTCCCTGTCGCTGACTGAAGCCTCGTGCAACGTAACGAGCCTTGAAGACAGGCGGAGAACCTGGCGGCCGCTTCACCCTGAAAATCCACATGCCGTCGACGATGTTCGCCCCGGGAGGGGGAACCTCATCGACGTAGGTGCCTGTGGACTTCTAGGATGCCATCTCTGCGTCCATGGCTGTCTGCCACTGAGAGGAGTACTCACCCGCGATCGCCTTAGCGTAAGAGCGCGGGTCGGGATGTCTGGTGCATCCGGGTCTCCCTAAGGGGCAAGCAGCATGGCCACGAGATGAGGCGCAGTGGCCGCAAGACACTCAAGGTCCTCGTGCCTGTCCTCAAGGACGTCCGTGCTAAGAGCACACTCACCCCCGACGGACGGAGGAGAGACAGACTCAGACTCAGCAACAAGACTAGCAGCGTAGTCTAGACGACAGGCAGCAGCAAAGTCGACAAGCTCAGCAACTAGGGCAGACGCAGCAGTGGACTCAAACGACGGGTCAGTGACAACAGTGGCTAACAGACGCGTGACAGTAGGGTGCTCAGTACGAAACTGGTCAGACTCAGGGTCCGCAACGTCAGGCAGAGAGGACGCAGGGGGAGAAGGCAGAGAAACACGCTGCGGAGGAGAGGAAGGATGACAGACTACTCCGTGGGTGCCAAGGACAGCCGGCTGACGCGGACGAGGAACACGACGACCGGAACGACCAGAACGGACAGGCGAGACAGGACGCGACGCAGGTTCACGACGCTCTTCAAGGAGAACCCCCTGTCTGCTCAGTGTAAGGAGAAGGAGCAGGCAGCGGCGAGCCAGGCTGTAACGGAAGACCAGTAGACGAAGGGAGACTAAGAACCTGGCGAAGCACAGAGTCAGGCGGTGGCTGAGACGACGGAGACGGCGGAGCGAAGAACAGGCGCGGCTGTGCAGTGCCACCAGCACCAGCAGCTCCAGTACCTCCAGCAGCTCCAGTACCCTCAGCAGCTCTAACACCTACAGCAGCTCCAGAACCCGCAGCAGCTCCAGCACCTCCAGCAGCTCTAGAACCCTTAGCGCCAGCTCCTCCAAGTTCAGCTCCACCAGCTGCAGCTCCCCCAGAACCAGTACCGCCAGGCCCAGGGTCTCCAGCCCCAGTGCCTCCAGTAGCAGCACCTCCAGTCCCAGGGTCTCCAGCAGTAGCACCCTCAGACACAGTACCTCCAGCCCCAGCAGCTCCAGTACCTCCAGTACGAGCACCTCCGGGACCAGCGACTCCAGCACCTCTAGGAGACAAAGGACCAGCACAACTCTCAGCTCCAGTGACGTCAGCAGAAGTACCTCCAGCAGCAGAGCCCCGAGCTCCAGCAGCACGACCCTGACGGCGACCGTACCAGTCGTGCAGCTGCTGTGAGGTGAGAGGCACACGTGGACGAAGGCGGCTACTCCAAGGAGACCGCGCAGAAGCAGACTCAGAACCCTCAGGCGTCGCACCCCCAGACTCAGTACCCCCAGGCTCCTCACGCCCGGGCTCAGCACCTCCAGACGCAGCACCCCCAGGCTCAGCACCTCCAGGCTCCTCACGCGCAGGCTCAGCACCTCCAGGCTCCTCACGCTCAGGCTCAGCGCCCTGAGACTCTGCACCCCCCGGCCCAGTACCTCCTGGGTCCTCACGCGCAGGCTCCGCACCCCCAGGCTCAGCACCCCTAGGCTCAGCACCCCCAGGCTCAGCACCCCCAAGCTCCGCTTCCCCAGGCCCAGCACTCCCAAAGACAACACCACCCCCAGCAGGACCTGAGTCACCAGTGACCTCAACAAGCACAGGCACGGGAGGGTCTACCTGAAAAACACACACCTGAAGGAGCAGGACCTGGCGCGGGGAGGGGGTTTACCTGGGGAGGACCTGGGGCAAGAAGAGCGGCGGGGGGGGGCGAGGGGCAGTGCGGTAGGGAAAGAGACGGTAAAAGGGGACGGACTCGTCAAAGGTGACATCCTGAGACGCAAAGACACGGCGCGAGGCGGGGTCGTAAAACTGCCAGCCAGGCGCGTCAGGGACAAAGCCAAGGAAGACGCAGGGAATAGCGCGGGCGGAGAGCTTGTCCGCGGTGGTATGGCGGCACGAGCACCCCAGACCCGGAAACGCGACGCATCGCCAACCTTCCCCGTCCACAGCAGTGTGGGCGAGGTCTCCGGCAAGGAGACACGGGGCCAGAGGTTGAGCTGATGCGCAGCGTACCGGACCGCAAACAGCCACAGAAAATGGGGGCAGCCGCATGGATCATGGAGGTACGAGCGACCTCCATGACTAAGCCAATGCGGCGCTCAGCAACCCCATTCTGCTGCGGAGAGGCCGGAAGCGTGAACGTCTGGCGGATGCCGTGCTCCGCATAGAAGGCTGCCAAGAGGCCAGAGGAGAACTCACCACCCCTGTCAGAGTGCAGACGCAGGACAGGAAAGTCCGAGTGGAACCGCTCGCGGAGCTGGAGACGAACAGCGCGGATCCAGGGGATCAAAACATCAAGGACCTCCCTCTTGCGCTGCAAGGGGAAGACCGTGGTGTAACGCGTGTAGTCGTCGACGACCAGCAGGAAGTACCGCTCGTGGCCCTGTCCACGGACGCGGGCTGGGCCCCACACGTCCAGGTGGAGAGTCTGCAGTGGAGCCTCTGTGGGAGGGAACGAGGAGGATTGAGGAGCGGCGCGCTGCCGCCCCTCGATGCAAGGAATGCAGGGCGGCGCAGGCGAGGGAGGGAGGGTAGGCAGAGACCTGGGAAGGCCAGAGACCAGGGAGCGAGAGTGCATGCTACGAAGGCGAGGCAGGGAGGGGTGACCAAGGCGGTGGTGCCACAGGAGAGTGTCGTGCGACAGGCGGCGACACTCACACTGGGTAGCTACCTGAGCAGACGCGTACAACTGGGGAGACAAAGGGGTGGAGCGTGACGCAGTGGTGAGGGTGTACAGACTGGTCCCAGGCGCACGTGTGAACGTTTCCAGGTGACGGCCGGTCCGGGAACACGTGCAGATCGCCACACGCTGTCCTCCAGGAGTAAAGGTGTCAACCCAGTGATCCTGAAGGACGGCGTTGCTCACCAAGTTCGTAGAGAACGAGGGGAGGTGGAGACCAGACAGCTCACCAGACGGGACCGCCGGACACGGAAGCACAGTGGAAGACCGTGCAAGCACTGGGCCCCAAGAGGGGTCAGCCAGTGAGACAGGAACAGGTGCAGGGAGGGGAGTGACTGTGGTGCTGTCGCGAAAGAAACAGCGGGAAGCACCAGAGTCAAGTGTGAAGGTGTGCAAGGCCTGTGCGGACGCAGTACCAGGGGGAACAGACTCACAAGCACCTAGTGCCACAGGCGCTATACCCGGGGCTATACCGGGGTCAGGCGGCACACACAAGTAGTAGTTACCCTCAGCACTAACAGACAATGCATACATGGCAGCAAGAATAGTCTCATAGTCAAGATCAAAGATAGGAACATCACGCCTAAGCAGGTCTGCCCAGTTGGGGAACTCAGTAGCATCAGGAAACTTGGCGCGCCAGGCGTCGCTAAGCCTAGCGAAGCAGCGGTACTCAGTGTGAAACCCTGTGCACTGGCGACCAGCGCGGGGACCTGTGCGAATGATATAGGGGCAGCGACCAGGACCCCCAGACACCCCACGCCCGGCATACCAGTCAAGAAGCTGCTGGGAAGTGGGGGTCTGGCGCTGACGCTGCTGCTGCTGCTGCTGCTGCTGCTGTCCCTGGCCACCACCGGCCTCACCCAAGCCCCCACCACCGCCGCCACCACCACTCCCCCCTCCGCCACCACTGCCGCTGCCACCGCCACCGCTCCCGGCACCACCACCTCCCCCACCACTACCTCCACCCCCACGACCACCGCCACCACCCCCACCGCCCCCGCCGCCTCCACCACCGCCCCCTCCACCGCCACCTCCGCCACCCCTGCCACCCTTGCCTCCCTTGAAGCCGCTGCGCTTCCCACTAGGAGCGGAAGCAGCTGCGACCTTCTCAGCACCAAGGAGGTCGACTGCAGCAGCAGCTGAGGCGTAGGAGGGGGCAAGAGGGGAGGGGGAGCACCCCTCAAAGAGGGGAGTGCGGGGAGTACCACGAGCAGCACCTACAGCTAGAATGTTCTTCTCGACTGCTAGGAGGTGCTTCTCGAGGTCGTCGACAGTGAGAGAATGGGGATCAAGGGCGAGGAAACGGTCCCTGACTGAGCGAAGAGTGTCAGGGAGGCGGGTGACGAGGAAGTAGAGAGTAAAGTACATCGGGGGGGGTTCTCGGCGCAGAACTCGGCTGGAAGGGCGGCACGAAGGTGAGTGTCACTAGAGCGTAGGTGAGAGATGAGGTCCTCAGCGGTGGTAAACGAGGACAGGTCGGGGAACAGGTAGGGTAGCATAAGTCGACCTAGGGCTGCAGTGGCAGGGGAAGAGTAGCGCGCAACTACAGCGTCGTACAGTGCCTTCGCAGTCTTGTGCTGGCTAAAATGCGCGCGCTCTGTGATCGGCAGATGGTTGCGAATAGCGAGGCGCGTAGCAGCATCGCGGGTCTGTCACTGGGAGCGGTCTAGAGCAGGCTGAGTGGCAGCAGGAGCAACGGCAGTGCCAGACATGTAATCGAACAGGGAAACACCGTCCTTGGCATCAGTCAGGAGGAACAGTTGCAGGTCGTCGAGCCAGGTGGCGAACTCTACTGGGCGACCATCAGGATCGAACGCGAGCACGTTGAGAGTCGCCATACGTGCAGCGTAGGCAAGTCTAGTGCGCAGGCGGCAAGGCAAAAGTGTCAAACATTATATATGTTGGGTTTGTTAGGCTACAGTGGGTTAGCCTATATGGGGTACACAATTCTAGGGTTTGCTATTTGTACTGATTTCTCTGTTAGTTCAATCATTCCAGTCCGTTGATTCTGACAAAAAGGCAAGCAAGGAGAGACTGCGTGCAAGGCTGCAGTGGTGGCGCACGGACTGCAGTGGCGGTACACGGACTCCTAAGGCAGCACAGAGGGCAGCAGTGGGCCGTGCATGGGCCTCTAAAGCAGCGCGCGGTGTAGCAGTGGGCCGCACACGGGCTCCTAAGGCGGGGCACGGTGCAGCAGTAGGCCGCGCGCTGGCTCCCAAGGCGGTGCGCGGAGCAGTTGCGGGCTGCACATCGGAGGAGGCGACGCGTGGGGCCGGCGGCAGGCTGCTCGGGCGGCTGACGTGGCGCGCAGGGCCGAAAACGGGCTACATGGGCGGCGGACGCGGCGCGCAGGGCCTAAGCGGGCTGCGCGTGGGCGGCTTACGCGGCGCGCGGGCCGGCGGCAGGCTGCGCGGGCGGCTGACGTGGCGCGCGGGGCCGAAAATGGGCCTAAAAGGGCCGCCCGCGGGCTGCTTAAGTGGCGCGCGCGGGAAAAAAAAAAAAAAAAAAAAAAAGGGGCCGCGCGCGTGCAGCCGAGACGCGCGCGGGCAGCAGGCAAGGCTGGCAGGCAAATGAGGTAACGTGGTAAAGGGTGGGCCCTTATCTTAGGTCCTAGAGACCTCTAGGCTCTAGATACCATCTTAGAATCTAGGCACCAATGAGTTGACTATCGAGAGAATGGTACAAGGAGAAAACCCTAAGGGGTTATACCCCACAGTATCTACCCCACTACAGCCTACCCGCAAATGTAACATATGCATATCTTTGACATAATAACTATTATACGGTACAAGCCAACCTGTAATTTCAGAATTGATATTTCACATGGTTGGCTGGAGGCTGGAGGGAGGCAGATTGAAATCACATGGCCACCAAGGGGCTAAAAAGGGGGACTTCCATAAACTGCAGAACGGCACATCCGCACCGAACTGCACCAAATTGCACCAAACTGCACCACCAGAATTTTCAAAAGCAATTGCAGAATAAAATGTCCGACCAAACTGCGCCACTACATACAGGAGGGCTCCGCAGATGAAAAGTACAAATTATAAAATTTGAAAGTATAATGAAATGTAACACTTTATAAAATTTTGTATTATGTAAAGGGGCACGTTGCCAGCACAACAAAGGTAGCGTCAAAGCGCTACTCATCCTCTTTTGCCTACAAAAAAGGGACATAGGGACATTCATCCCCACCCACGTTTTCATTTCCGACATTGTAGTTCTAATTTCGTTCTCGTCCACACTGGCGAAGACTTAGTCGCTTTCGCGTTTGACGGCCCCGTCAACACTCCTTAATGGCATCCTTTAGCGCAACCTCGCAACGATGACTCCGGTCAACCCAGCACTTAAAGCCGGGATCTCAAGTAAAAAATTAGCTGGAAGTTGGTGAGGGAAGCTTGCTTGTGATTGGTCAACGAGGTGGGTAGTTTGACGATGGGTGAAGCGAGGGGAGCGAACAAAACTCAAATCGCAAGTTTGAGTCCGAACCAGGGAGGCACGGAATCTGGTTCGGTGACGAACCTCCAACACCAGCAATTTCCCGTCACACCCGAACAATCCCATGTATCAGCAATGTGTTTTGCAATTGAACCTGGGGCAAAAACGTGAGTGTGTCGCACACTCAACTCCCTAACCAACCAGTCAATTCGCCTGTAGAAACAGGGTAATGAGAGCTGCAAGTGTTTTGCAATTGAAGGCCAATTCTCGTACTTGAGATCCTGGCTTTAACCGCGACAACTCGAATATTTCAAGCCCCGGTAACGCAGCGGAAACCCAGACTCCGGCCGGGACAACGGATCGTCGCGGAAAACGTCCCCAAGAGGGACCTTCGGCGGTCGACCTCCTGCTGGAAGGCACCCTTCGGACCAGGGCCGTCGATTGCAGGGCGATTGCCCTGCTGGACATTGAATTCCAGGGCTGGGCTGCCCTTGCAAACTGAAATTGATGGGTTGGATTTTTTTTTTGCCCTGATTCCTTATGGGCCTGATTTTGGGCTTAGGCCTGGAGTGTAAAGGGGTGATTTTAGGATTTCCCTGGAACAGAATCTTTCGAGTCCCCCCCTTCCACCCCCCCTCCCTATCCAAATCCCCCCTCCCCCCCGTTTCTGTCATGATTACGTCCAACCGGGCAAATCTGGATTTCCACAAATTCAACTCAACTCAACCTACAACTTCGCCAATCACAACTTTGCTCACTTGCCACGACACAAAGACAGTACAGGGCCTACAGGCATAGCAGCAGAAAAACACACCTCAAATCCCCCCGTCATGCACTGCACCAGCAAGCAAGCATGAATCGCCTCGGCACGGCATAGCAACAACAAAACACATCTCGAATCCCCGTCGTGCACTGCACCAACAAGCATGAACCGGCATACCCGCAGCAAAACACATCTCATATTCCCGTCGTGCAGTGCGCCTCCTATTGCACGACGGTACGACTAGACTAGGACGAGAGAGCGACTCACTCGAAACGTGCCATGCCAGCCATCCCTCCGTCACCTTTCTCCTCCAATCTCTACTCCAATCAACCATCCATCCCTGCCTGCTCTCACACTACACATTGCCTATTTTAGAGTGCATGTTCCACACTTGCTCATCGTGGCAGGCAGCCCTCCCAGAAAATGGATGTTTCTAGTGATGACGACGTTGAGACACATACAGCATCAACCGTCCCAGTACCTCGAGTTTTCAACACCCCGGCCCACTCTGAAAGGCCCGACGCCTTAGCTTCTGATAGTGAGAACGAGAGCATTGGTGCTGGCAATGACGAGAACCTCCACGAGGTCGAAGTCCAGCACGTCAATCGTGTGTCTCGCCGCGCAAGTGAAGCTTCTTCCATTCCAGGCCAGCGCATGCGTCAGACGCGACTGACGTGGTCGGGACCACACCTTCCTCCTCGTAAGCGCTCTAGGAAGGTATCGACGGTTGAGGACAAGCCCGCTCCAGCGGTGGACAATGCCGCTGAACGCCAGGATGTCCCTGTGTCGGAGAAAAAACTGGTCGAGAAGTGGAATCCCGGGTGGAAACAAACGTTCAAGTGGCTGGTGCTTGAGTACGACGACGAGCAGCTGATGTACGGTATGAAGTGTACCATCTGCAAAACCCATGCCAAGAACAGTAAGTCTCCGTTTGGACCTCTTAGAGTAGGAGCGCGTGATTTTCAGGTGGGGTGTTGCAGAGGTCATGAATTCTCGAGGCTACACCTTGCTGCTGTGACAGCCGAGCGGATTGCTGAGGGCACCGAGAGGCAACAGCGCAGTATCTTGGAACTCCTGAGCGCTGAGCCCCTGACCCGCAGGGTGGTGAAATGTCTTCAGGCAGCTTACTGGTGTTCTCGAAATGATGCACCAATCATGCTCTACACGCTTCTTGTTAAGTTCATGGCTGAGCAGGGCTGCCTAGACATGACTAATGAAGAGGCATACGGGCGCTACTACTCAAGGTAATGCGCTGATGTTTCTGCTTGTTCCCATTATAAGATCTAACAATCAGCTTTTGCACCTTTGCAGATACGCCTTCGGCGAGTTCGTATCGGCGCTCGCAAGCTACCTCCAAGAGCGCCAGCTGGAAGATGTCAAAGTCTCGCCATGGTTCGGGCTCTCATTCGATGAGAGCACGGACCGCGCACACTGCAAGCACATGATAATGTACGTGCACTTCGAGCGCAACGAGCAGTCGGAGGTGCAGTTTTTTAGAAACATTCCAGTCGACAAAGCCGATGGCGCCTCGCTGTACGCTTCTGTCATGGCGCATCTTGACAGCAAAGGCTTGTCCTTGGACAAGTTTATGGGTGTGTCCACGGACAGTGCCAAGGTTATGACGGGAATGAAGAAGGGAGTTGTGGGCCGTTTAAGGCAGCGCTGCCCATGGCTTGTTGCTGTGCACTGCGTGGCACATCGGTGAGCATGAATGCTTGTTCTGTATGATCCTTGCCGAGCCTTCATCTCTGGTTGATTTTTTTTTAACTCGTGTTTAACTGGTAACCGTGTCACAGGGAGGCGTTGGTAGCAAAGGATGCTGCCAAGAAGTTCCCTGATTTCAACGTCATTGACTCACAGATTCGCAAGACTGCAGAGCACATCGGCCGCTCCAGCATCTCCAGAGATGCCTTCATGGACCTGCATGATGTAATCATGAAAACCCAACTGAAAGTCCAAGGCATTTTCAACGTCCGTTGGCTTTCACGAGGGGATGCAGTGGCGCGGTTCTGTGAAGTGCTGCCAATCCTCCTCTGGGTTTGGCACAAAGAAGACCAGGCCGCGTATAAGATCGGCACAAGTTTCAAGTTTCAGTTCATGCTCTTTTTCCTCGCCGACGTGCTGGAAAAGCAAAACACCCTCAACATGGCGTTTTAGAGGCTGGTGGTAAGTTTGCATCGTGGACAATGTTTATAGATTGTTCTAAACGCTCTTTACTAACTTTCCTTCCTTGGCTCATGAGCAGGTGGACATCGGCGAGGTGAAGCTTCTCGTCGATAAACTGAAGCTGAAGCTGGCGCAACGTTACGTGGAGAACCGCACAGACTATGGGACCCCGAAGAGCAAGCACCTCCACGCTTTTCTTGAGAAGCACGGCAGCCCTGACAAGCGCGAGATCACCATCCGCGGCATCGACAAGCAAGGGAACGCGTGCACTGTCAGCGGCGTTCTGCATGAAGACCCCATCGGAGCAGGCACGGGGGGGACGGACCTGGAGTCGTGCATCAAGCTGGGGCAGCAGTTTGCGCAGGAGTTGATCACCAAGCTGGACTACCGGCTTGGCGACCTTAAGCATTTTGACGGGGCAAAACTCTTCATGCCAATGCACTACCCGCCACAGCTTGCTGACCGTGAAGGATGGCTCAACGCCCACCTGCACGAAATCCTTGACATGTTCAAGGAGAAGCTGCCCGGTACGTAAGAATGCAAATGATCCAGCTTGTATCTTATTAACACCCAGCATTGTTACTTTCATAGGTGCTTCATTGTTTCACACATATTCTTCTCCTACGCCCACCCCACCACCCGCAGGTGACACGTACGAGGCGTGTCAGCTGGAGATGGAGCTCTTCGCTGCAACAATGTTAAAGAAATTCAAGGACATGACTTTCCAGCAAACCCTCACTAACGTGCTACGCACCTCAGACTGGAGGGATGATTACCCCACCCTCGTGCACTTGTGGCGTGCACTTGCTGTCCTGCCCCTTAGCACTGTAGAGTGCGAGAGGGGTTTCAGTAGGCAGAACATAATAAAATCATGGGACAGGACTGCACTTAGTGATGTTAAGCTAGATCAGCTCATGACCGTGAAGATGCTAGACTATCCCATGGAGTGGGTAGAAGTGCACAAGATCTTCACTTCTGCCAGGGCTAGGAAGCCTGCTAAGCATGCGTAGAGAAATGCCGTTGTAGGCATTGTTTTTATGTAGTGTTAGCTTGTTGTTTTTATGTAGTGGTAGCTTGTTGTTAGCTTGTGTTAACTAGTTGCTTTACATAGTGTTAGCTTGTTGTAGTTTGTAGCTGTAGGCATTGTAGTTAGAATGAGGCAGCAGAATCTGACGCGCCAAACCTGATTCAAAGGTTGGAAATATTTCCAGACCTGAAGCCTAAAGAGCCAAAATTCGCCCCGGACCTGTTAGATACAGGTTCGGACATGGCAGGCCCCCTGATTTGTCCCGGGGCCCCAAAACGAAACGGCATCCCTGCTTCGGACCCCCTCTGAGGAACGCGCGACTATTGTCGCGCATGGCTGCTGCTGAGGAGCGCGTATTTGGGAGGCACGTGCGTGCCACGCAGAAGAGGACGGCCGCCGCTGATGCAGCAGCCGTCTTGACTGCCGCTGACGCGGTAGCCGTCTTGACCGCCGCTGACGCAAGTCCATCCGGGCCCACGACCCAGAAACGCTAGCGCGCGGCACCCTCCGCTGACATCACGCTGGTCCCCCCCCCCCCCCCCCCCCCCCTTTGACTGCGCAGCAGCTGCAGGCGCTGCTCTCGTTATTGCAGCAGCACACGCCATCGAGTACAGCTACATCGACCGAAGATATTTCTTCTTCCGCTAAAATTGAAAAGCAGGAAGAATATGTCGCGCCTTCCCGCTCCACCAAGGCCGCTCGCGCCAACAACTCTGCTCTTGCTCCTGCCCCGGCTCCGGCACCAACCCAAGCCCGTATCCCCGACGACAGCGACGACTCAAAAAATGAAGACGGTGAGGCCCCCGACAACCTTGCTCGCCGTCGCATTCTCGCACCCGCACCCCCCCTCCCTCCCCTCAACCCTACACCCGCAGCTACTACCTTCATGCGCAAGGGAGTGCGTGACCAGGCGGAGGTGTTCTCCGCAATTCAAGCTCACCTGAGGCACGTCGAGTTCAAGCTCCATCACGGCGACGTCGAGGGCGCGCTCTCCAACGTGGCGCAAGTCGAAACGTTGTTCAACAAACGTTTCGAGGTGCTCTTGGTGGCAGATGAGGCCGGGTTTGAGGCGGCGGATCGGTTCCAGCTGTACCAAGCCAAGAGCGTACTCACGTCGCGCTCTTACAAGCTCGCGGTAGCCGACGTGGCGGTCCTCAAGCGTGCACGCATGGGCTTTGCCCGCGGAGGCCGCCTTCCCCCTCAAGATGGCGAACCGGAAAGCAAAGGCATGCCACCCGCCGGCTGCCATGAGCCCCGCTTCAAGGGCGTCTGTTTACGCTACAGCCAGCCCGGCCACATGGCAAACAATTACCCTATAGGAGGGCGTGGCGCACAAGGCCCCGCACCCGTGGTGTGAGAGGACCCATGGGGCGGCGCCCCTTGCCACTATGCCGGGGGGCGTAGGTGGATGCACCGGTGGTGCGTAGGCTGGTTAGGAGCCTTGGAAAGTAGTTTAGGCCAAGTGGGTCAGGACAAAAGGCAGCCATAGGGGCTGGAGATGGTGTAGGCCTAGGCTTGTATGCCTTTGTGTGGAATAATAAAAGGAGACTGCCAGAGAGAGAGAGAGAGAGAGAGAGAGAGAGAGAGAGAGAGAGAGAGAGAGAGAGAGAGAGAGAGAGACGACAAGAGGAGGGAGGAAGGATGGCACGACAAGTCAAAAGTAATCCCTCTTTTGAGGAAGGCAGCCATGGAGGAAGACTTGGCTAGGTGTAAATTATGAACTAAGGGCTGAGAGAAGCGAAAAAAAAAGCGGGGGGAAAAAAAACCGGAATGAGGAAGAGGAGAAAGAGAGAGAAAGAGCGAGAAAGTGAGAGAAAAAGAGAGAGAGAGAGAGAGAGAGAGAGAGAGAGAAAGAGAGAGAGAGAGAGAGAGAGAGAGAGAGAGAGAGAGAGAGAGAGAGAGAGAGAGAGAGAGAGAGAGGCACATAGGGACTTAGCCGTTTTAAGCCTCTCCTAGCCTCCCTAGCCTCCCTAGCCCTAGTATAAAGGCCTTTGAGGCAGTGCTCCCTCCTCATTATTCAGTTTTCTGGTTCATTTGCTCTCCTAACCGAGCGGCCTACGGCCGCGCGTGAGGGGGGGCAAGTAACAGACGACAGCCACGCCACTATAAGAGGATTACAACATGTGGTGCTAGATAGGCCCTAGGAGCAAGGGCAAGGTAAGTGGGGAAGGGACATGGGGGCTAAGAAATCACAGAGCAAAGGCACACCACCGCCGAAACCTACACGCGGTTCAACACGTAGAAGCGTCGGCGGATCCACCGCAGCAAAGACGCGAGGGCGGGCAAGAGCCGGAGGGGAGACTCCTCGGCTGCCATGGCTACCCGGCGGAAAGCAGTTGCGCCCGGCCCTTCGTTTTGGCGGGGGCGCTCGGACTCCAGCGGCAAACGGAGAAGACGCCACAATCCCTGCGCCGCGGCCTGGCGCACGACGGCCTGCTGCGCCTCAGTCAACTGCGGGTCGCGGGAAGCGAGATTCCGCTCCTCAAGGCCGGCGTGCAACTGCTCGAGGACGGTTGCCACATCCGACAGGCACTCTCCAACAGCGACCATGCGCCGCTCCCACCGAAGGACGTCCAGGACGAAGTCGTTGCGAATGTCCCAGTCCCGCGCGTACAACGTCCCAGGCTGAGGCGGGGCCCACCCTTCTCCGTTATACCACCGCTCATCGTCAGAGGGATCACGAGCATCAGAAGGAAGATCTGGAGAGGCGTCGCGAGGAGGAGGAAAGCGAGCGACAGATGGGGGGTGGCTCGGCATCAGAGGATGCTGCTGCTGTGGAGGATCCTCGGGACGAGCAGCTGGAACCGGAGGGGGAACAGGGGACGGCGGCGCAAGAGGCACGCCGACAAACGGCGCTGACGCTGGGAGAACAGGAGGAGGTGACGGTGGGGAGGGCGGCTCCAAAAGAGGTGACGGCAGTGAGAGGCCGGGTTGGGAAACCTGGGCGGATGACACGGAGGGGCCAGAAGACAGCTGCTAAAATTCTTCTTAACATATTGATAGTACGACGACACCGAGGGCCCAGAAGACAGCTACTGGGACGACAGAAGGGAGGGAGGTGGCAGAGAGGAACTCTGAGTCGCCACAGGGGGAGGAGTCGACTGGCGCAACAGCGGCCCGACAATCTCCCTCTGGACAGCGGGAGGGTGGCGGGGGGGACGGCAGTGACGAAAGGAACCACCGTGAGCCCGCAGGTGGGGATGAGTTCGCCCCCGAGGAGAGCGATAGATTGGCTCTCGACGACGGGAGGGGGTTCCGGCCCCCTCGTGCTCGACCAGGGCAGCGGCGGCTCGGAGCAAGGCTGGCTCCAGCCCGTCCTGGGCCTTTGACGGGCTGGGAGCAGCAGGCGGGCCTGGCGAACGGTCCGACCGGGAGGATGGACAAGCGCCGGCCCGTCATCGCTTGGGAACCTGCAACCACACGCAGAAGTAGACGGGGAGCCTGGGCCGGTAAGCAGGACAGGAGGAAACAGAGACGATAAAGGAGAAGACAGGAGAGAGGCTGCGATGATAGCACATCAGGGGAGATGGTTTGAGACAAGCAGGCAGAGAGCGTTGCGAGAACAGGTGGAAGACGGCGCAGATGCACAGCGCCCGCAAAATGCGGCGCCAAGGACGACTACTAGGGGACGCGGGAGGGGACGAGGCCGGGGGGGACGCGTGGGGGAGCTGGTGAGATCGGTGGCGAGGGAAAAAGCCAGATCTGGGGACTGGCGGGAAAGGCATGGGAGGCCCGAAGAACAGGGGAGGGAGCCAATGAATGATTCTGCTGGAGACAGTAAGTCAGAATATAGGGAGGAGGAAGAGGCAGAGTCAGAAGAGATCTCTCTGGAGGCTGAAGATGGGGTACCTGCCCAGAACGAGGGAAGGAGGGGACGTGGCGGGCGACGAGGGGGGGAGGCGAGGGAAGCAAATGCGACAGCACAGGTGGGCGAATCACAGCCTCCATAGCCCAACGAGAACGCCAACAAGGAGCGCTCACCCAAGGATATCGCGGGAGACGACGACGCGTGGCACAGGAAGGAGAGTTGGGATCTCGACCCACTCTGCTCTAGTTCGAAGCCGTTCCTGATTAGGAACCACTGGAGATTCTTAAATCCTACAGCCACTGTCTCACCATACCCCTCCTGCGATTATCAAAGCAACCAAGCTGCTTGGGGGCATGGCAGATCCTGCAATTTCTTCCGAGGCTCACACTGAGGGCGGATGGGGAGAAACCACCGGGAAACAACCTGGAAGCGGTGGGAAAACGAATTCGCCAGTTCCGAGAGGAAGGATGGGGCCAACTATACCTGCAGGCCTGCACCTTCCCGGTAAATTCCCAACCAAGCAGGCATGAACCGAACACAGAAGGCATTTGCGCAAGGGTGGAAGGGTTAGTGCGGAAAGCGAACCTGGCGAAGGCAGCAGCAGCGTTACAAGCATCACCAATGGCCGAACCATCGCGAGCGGTGTTGGAGACACTGCGCGCGAAACACCCACAGTCAGAGGTGGTGATTCCTGAGGGGCTGGGAGGTTACGGGGATACGGCCCTCGCCATCAGCGCGGAATCGTTTCGCGAAATCCTGGCGAGGTGCCCAAACGGGGTAGGAGCGGGCCCTTCCGGCACGTGCTTCGAACATCTCCGCGACCCTGCACTAACAAATGGGGAGGTGTTCATGCTGCTGCACCAGGTCATCAACAACCTACTCGGTAGCTACCAAGGCGGGCCGCTAAGGGAACTGCTCCTACCGGCAAGGTTCATCGCTCTGGAGAAACCGGACGGCGGAGTTAGGCCGATTGCGATTGGGGAGGCCATTCTAAGGGTAGCGGCGAAAGCGGCGATACGGGAGCTTTCCCCAGAAATCCGTTCATACTTCAAGCCAGTACAATATGGTGTTGCGGTCCCTGGAGGCGCGGAGTGCATAATACACACAGCTCGGACGCTGTTGGAGGAAGACCCGTCGAGAACAATCCTACAACTCGACGTCGAGAATGCATTTAACTCAGTGGAGCGCGCGTCTTTCCTATCTTCGATACAGTGGACCAGCCTGATCTCTCTTCTCCCCTTCGCGCGAACTCTCTATGGAACGCCCTCGAAACTACTGCTGGACAAGGGCTTCTCGGTTAGCTTCATTGAAAGCGCCAGGGGCGTCAGGCAAGGGGACCCGCTAGGTCCTATGCTCTTCACGGTGGCAATTCAGCCGGCCTTGCTAGCGGCGGCGGTAGCAGACCCGGGCGTAACCGTCATGGCGTATGCGGACGACATCACGATCATTGTTCACCCTACGGCGGCGACGCGAACATTCAACATGATAGGAGAGGAACTCGCCGGATAAGGTTTACGGTGCAACCTCGCCAAGTCCTCGGCGTGGTGCCCAGCGGGAAGCAGGGGGGGCCTACCGGAAGGACTAGCGTTGGCGGTAGACGGAGTACAGGTCCTGGGGAGCCCGATCGGTACGACGGACTACTGCAGGCGAACACTGAGAACTACACTCGAGCGCGTGGCCCTACCGCTGAGCCTCGCCAGCAGGCTGCACCCGCAACACGCGATGCTGCTCCTGTCCCGATGCTTCTCGCGCAAGATCTCCTACCTGCTGCGCACCACGCCAGCGGATGTCCTGCCCCTGAGGGAATGGCGTGAGTGGAGTGAGAGATTGCTGTGGACGGCATTGAGGCTGCCAAACTCAATGTGCCATCCAAGGAACTGGAACAGAGCTTGGTATGGAGGCAAGCGACGCTACCCATCGCGTTAGGCAGCGTGGGACTGATTGACCCACTGTCTGAGGCGCCGACGGCCTACCTCTCGTCACTCAAGGCGGCGCAGATGCTACTACAGCAAATGCCGCCCTCCCCAAACCACCAGCTGGGGCAAGCGGCGGCGCTGGTATCACCGCTGGGGGAGGGAGTGGCGGGGCGGGGGGGAGCGACACTCCAAGACCTACAAAACAGACTCCCGGAGAGGGCACAGGAACTCCTGAGGGGGCAGGGGGATGACAGAGGGGAGAAGGGACGCCTGCAGGAGCAACTATCACGACTCATCAACTTAAACAGGGCGGCAGAGCTGGTAGGCGACACCCGGATCGACAAGCCTGGGAAAGATAACGGCCATGTGGTCCGGCTGATTAGTCTTCAGGGGGTGGGGGCGGGGGACTGGCTTCACGCCATCCCCACGCGAGCGGACCTGACGTTCTTGCCGGGACTGTTTGCATTGGCCCTGGGATTGGCCGGTGGGTTGACTCTGCCCGTGGCCGACAACTGCCCGTACCAGGGGGAGAGGGCAAAGATAGGGGACCTGAGCCTACCGAACCACCTGCTGCGGTGCGGGGAAGGGAAGGAGAGGACGAACACACAAAACACATTAGTATATGCAGCGCTGCGCATGGCCAGGGAGGCCGACTACCTTACCCTGCACGAGACCACGGTCTACTCGCAACCAGTTAACTCCAAGCGAGCGGACCTGGCCCTCAAGGACAGGGAGTCGGCCGAGACGTGGGTGACTGATGTGACGGTGACGGATCCTGTCTTGCAGCGACGAGACACACGGGCAGTGAAACCGCCTGGTTGGGCGGCAGAGGACGCGGCAAGGGGGAAGAGGGGGATGTATGAGGGCAGGCCGGACTTTGTAAGGGTGTTAGGGCTGGCGGTGGAGACCTACGGCGCCCTGGCACGCGACACACAGAGATTTCTGAGGCTACTGGGCACCCAGGCAGCCAAGAAAAAGTTTCGGCAGGGGAGGCTGACTACAGTGGCCTCCAAGCTCACGGCCCACTACCGACAGCGCTGGTCGGTGGCACTGCAGTGGAGCCAGGCGAATACCTTCCTAGCAAAATAAAACAGAGCCACGGAAAAGGCCTACCCGCAGGCCCCGACGGACCCATGGGAGCCCCGCTTGGGGGACCTGTGGCAAGTCATCGAGGATGACTTGGAGTGGGGACCGCCCCTAGACTTGTGAGGGGTGGAGCTCAAGCCCCCAGGGAGGGAGCCCAGGGAATAGGACGGGAACACACAGTCAGACCACAGGACGCAGACAATCATAACAGGCCTAGTAATGTGGCGGCTGCCTAGGCTCGTACCATGCTCGGTTGTAATGTGCCCTCATGTGTTGCATGCTTGTACCCCGTTTACTATCAATGAATGACTGCTTGAGAGAGAGAAAGAGAGAGAGAGAGAGAGAGAGAGAGAGAGAGAGAGAGAGAGAGAGAGAGAGAGAGAGAGAGAGAGGGAGAGAAAGAGGGAGAGAGGGAGGGAGAGAGAGAGAGAAAGAGAGAGAGAGAGAGAGAGAGAGAGTGAGAGAGAGAGAGAGAGAGAGAGAGAGAGAGAGAGAGAGAGAGAGAGAGAGAGAGAGAGAGAGAGAGGCCACGAAGACATCGTGATGATCAAGGTTGTAGGACCAAGGGATGCACAGGCACCGACCTCCTCGTAAGGCGAAGGCGGTAAAAGGCGAGCGACATAGTTTGCCTCACTTAACCTCGCGCCTAACCGACCTTGGTCCTTTGTCTTCCCCACAACCTCGGTTGCCCGTCATTTGCAGAAGTTGAAAGCGAATGGAAGGACGCTCACTGGGACCCACACAAGCATGCAATAACGGACGACACTGTGTTCATCATGCGAAGGCGATTGCGCAACAACCTCCACTGGTGGCTAGCATGGTGCGACAGCAGTTTAATCCTTTCCATCATTGCTAAAGGGTACTGGCTACCATGGAAGGGCGTGGAGCATTCTCCCTTCGAAGCCCTCAATCACGCAGGGGTTCAAACACACATGGCTTTCACCCAA